ACTAGTACTACTACGACTATTACTGATCCCCGTTTAATTTTGTGTTGATCCTCATTTAATTTTTTTTGATCCGCAAACCCTAGATTTTTCCCAAGCTTTGTTGCATACCTACTGCGTTATTTTTTTGCTCCTGCTTTTAATTTGTTTTTGATCTTTGTGGTTTATTTTTTTTGATCCTGATTTAATTTTTTTTTGATCCCTCACCCTAGTTGAAGGGGCTGCTTTGCCCATGCTGCTAAAGCTGCTGTCGTTTCTCGGCCGGGGATTTGTCATCTTCGGAAGCTCAGCGCTGGTCGCCATCGTTGCAGTGTGAAGGGGGTGGCGGGCAAAACCAGAGCATGTCATGCGGATTGGAGCCGAGGTTCAATCTGCGGGACATCTCTCAGGCTCCTCAGTTCGCAAGCTCTCGCATGACATGTGCATATGAGGTCTAGTCTCGAGTGGAACTTCTGGTTCTGGTCGCTCCTTGTCACAAACGGTCCTTCCACGCTCTCCCCTCTCCGAGGAGTATCTGCCGGACTTCTCGCACGATCAGGGCATCGCCTTCCTTAGCGAGTTTGTCGCAGGCCGTTTTGGCCCGTCATCCATGAACATCAGCAGAGCGACGTCTAGTATCATAAGCAGCTGGTGGTGGAAGTAGGGGTGGCGATCGCGTTTGTTTGCGCCGTGCGGTGTCGGCGGTAGTGGTGATGCGTCTCGCAAGGAGTGAGATCAGCATCGGGCAGATTGAGGCTAAGAGAAACCTCGTGGCACATGTCGCGATGGGGTGGGGTTGTTGGGTTTCCATGCCCATAGAAAACGTCAAATGGGGCTTTCCGAAAATAGGGGACCCTAATATAGCACCTTAACTAATAGGATCCTTACTATAAGGACCCTAAAATAAGGTACCCCTAATTTCCGGAAACCCCCAAATCACAAGATCTTCAAGCGGCTGAAGGGTTTGGTGCCCCGGAGCAGAGAGTGGAGAGGTGTAGAAGCGCTGTCTGAGAGGCAGCTCCATCGTGATGTGGGTGCCATGGCCTCAGGGAGGCTCCGAGAGCCTGCCTGATCGTCTGCATTTTGGCTTTAGGGTCCATATATATATATATATATGGATATCTATATATATATATATATATATATATGGATATCTATATATATATATATATA